TTCAAGGCCAGGTTGGATGGGGCTCTGAGCAACCTGATCTCGTTAGCGGTGTCCCTGCTCACTGCAGGGGGGTTGGACTAGATGACCTCTAGGGGTCCCTTCCAATCCAAACCATTCTATGATTCTATTTGGCTTGCGCCTGTCGTGGGGCTGGCTGGGCATCACTACCACATGGTAGTTCTCCCGCTGAGTTTGGGCTGTATGCCATCAGCTGCCCTTGTTAAAGAGCCTGACCTACTTAAGATACGCACGTGTGCAATAGGCCTCACACTTTTGTTCGCTTCTTTTGTGACGAGGTGTCCCAGGAAGGCTGATCCCCGCGGTCCATCAGGCTTACTTTCTGCCACAACTCTGTTGGGCCTTTTGGGAAAAGCATCTCAATCAGGCAGGCATCTCTGCCTTGAATATAAACATGAAGGAGGGTTGGGAGCTTGACCTGTTTACAGTCAAAGCTGGTAGGTTCCTTTTACTTAATGACCAGTTTGAAGGGCTTTGATTGTTCACATAATAGATAACAATCAGGAAAAAGTTGGTCGCTTCAACAGGTACATACATGCTTTTAACAACTACAAGTGGAAGAGGTCACTGCAAACACCATGAGAAGAACTAATTGGCAGTATTAGGTTTAAAGTTTAATTACATTTCCATTTTTAGCTTTATCAGTGTTTTTAAATTGATAATTTTTGCATGGGAATTTCAGCACTGTTTTGTGACCTGGTTTTGATCTTTCTGAAGTTTTGTTTCGATTTTACTTTTATGACTGTATCTATGAACATGGGGGAGATGCTTTTTGTTCTGAGGGGCACCAGAGGAAATTAAATAAATTACTTCGAGTCATATAGAGCCATTTTGCTGTGTTTACAGTTGCACTGAGATCAGGGTGCCTAGTATATTTCTGGTATGTAGCTGTGAGAAACTAAGTTGGAGTAGTTTAGCTTCATAGCTCCAGAAAATAAGTGTGCTATTCCACATCTACAATGCCTTCTTACAAATTTGTCTGCTGTAATGAAAGGACATAAGTGTAAGTAGATGGGGGGGGTGTACAGGTGCCACCTTTGCTTGCCATAAAACGTTGGGAGGTGGCACGCACTCAAAGTCCGTAGAATTGGAGGAATCTCTTTTGTACTGGGATTGCATTTGAATCTGGGAGGGAAGGTGTGATGCAGTGGAGGGGCAAGAGGCTACACAGTCCTTGGTGTCACGGATTCAAGGCAGATTTTTGTATTGACCCCTGTGTATATCTAATACATGCTAAACTAAACACAGGCAAGGAAGCTTGCAGAAATTTTGAGCTTTTAATTTTTCTCTGAAAGGCTTTCTAGGTCAGGATGCAGTGCTCAGGGGATGTGCGAGGAAACCTGGTATATGAATGTGCAATTATAGGTTATTGGTCAGGGTCTTTTTTGTTGTGTTTTTTAAAACTTGCTTTTAAGTGGCTGCCCCTGTTTTAAGTAGGTAATTTAGACCAGTTTTGTTAAACCTGGCTTGCTTATTTAAAAATACTAGGGGGGGAAAAAAGCCAGGAACATTCACACACACAGAGTATGAGTCCTAATACAACTTCATGAATTTTAAAGCAATTTTGCTGGATAGTATGGCAACCAAAGGAAGTGGGTCAGGATGTTTAATAGTCTCAAATCACACAAGGTTATCTTTAAAGAGCTAACCTGGTGTCCATGAAGTTAATGGAAGCTTTTCCATTAACATTCATGGCCTATGTTTCAGGCAAGCTGACATTAATTATTTATTTTCTGTAAATGAGGAAAATAATGTATTTTTCATATCACATCCATTTTTAGATAGCAAGTATAGGAGAGAGTGTGTTGAACAGTGTGTTAATTGCATGATTATGCTTCAAGACTTAATTTACAGGCCACTGGGCAAAGATGTTTCATACGCTGAACCTTCAGTTGCTTCTCTAGCATACATTTGCTTTAGTGAATTGGTATTTGAGTCATTAACTGGGGATGAACTCTTTGTAGTGAACTTTCTTTTCATTTTCCTGGGTGTTAGTAGATTGACAAACATCTTGTTTCTCTGCAAACTTTAGTACTAGGTAGCTTTTCAGAAAGTGCCAGCAAAAATAGAAGAAGAAGAAGAAGGTTTAACTGGTTTAACGGATAGAATTCTGTCATCGTAAGTTCGAGGAAACTGTTACTGAAATACTACTTTTAAGTTCTGCATCAGATGTTGTCACAGAACATTGCCTGTCAGGACTCAAGGTGCTCGCTTATACCAGTTATAGGTGACACTGTTGGTACCGCCTTACTCGGTTGCTTTCTGAACAACATTTAAAATTTGTGTGTTTGTGTGTGTATAGGTATGTATGTCTTGATCTTTGGGCTAGATAACTTCCTTCATCTCACATAGCTAGTTGTCCCTGAATTTTAAGTTAGATGAAGATGTAGGTAAGAATTTAAAAAAAATAATTCTAACCCTGATAAGAATACGGTAAGAATTTTTATTCAGGTTAGTACACAACTTCATGAATCACAGTTCTTTGCTCGGTAGGGGTTTTTTTTTTTGTTGCAATTTAATGGGCTGGAATAATTTGACAGTGATCTAACTTTGTAGCAGTCTGCACATACATATTTATATATATGTATGTAATGTATGTTTCACTTCAGGTTTTAAGAGAGGTGCAGATCCTGGAATGCCTGAGCCAACTATCTGGAGGTATGTATTGGTTCCAAATATACACACGAACCCAACGCGGATGACACCCAAGCCAGTAACTATCTCTGGACAGCAACAGTTGCAAAGGTTGCTTTCATCCCTTGTTTTTAATTGTTTAGGGTGAAAGCATAGCTGGTTGTGGTTCTCATTTCTTTAGAAATCCAAAGAAGACAGCAAAATGCACATTCTTGGGAGGGCCTTTTTCTCTTACTATTGCATGGCTTTTAATATATGGGACTTCCTGTACCTTCTGAGTGGAAGCTGCTTT